AAAAAAAAAAAAAAAAAAAAAAAAATTATATATATATATATATAAAAAATCTGGGTACATTGCTGAAATTTGGAAATGACAGAAAGCAAAGCGCTGCCTAGTTCCACCCTCCCCAGTTCGTGCTCTTTCCTTTCAGTCTTAGCTAAGCATATTTTAACATACTTCTGTTCTTAGTCTGTGAAGGGGATTTTGCTTTTCTCATATTTGGGACAATTTCCTTAGGAAAAATTCATTCATTTCTTTAATCAACAAATGTTTGCTGGGCATCTCTGCGGTGGGATATGGAGTCCAGTCTTCAAACCTTCCCCACTTTTGTCATGTGTTTTTTTCTGAGGGTGACATAATCCTTGCAGGTTTTTGTTTTTGTTGTTTTTGAGACAGAGTCTCGCTCTCGCCAGGCTGGAGTGCAGTGGCGCAATCTCGGCTCACTGCAACCTCCGCCTCCCAGGCTCAAGCGATTCTCCTGCCTCAGCCTCCTGAGTAGTTGGGACCCCAGGTGGGTGCAACCACACCCGGATAATTTTTGTATTTTTAGTAGAGATGGGGTTTCACCATGTTGGCCAGGTTGGTCTCAAACTCCTGACCTCACGTGACTGCCTGCCTTGGCCTTCCCAAAGTGCCGGGATTACAGACATGAGCCAATCCTTGGCAGATTTTGTGAAGGCCTCTAAACAGACCACTGACCTTTTCTCAGATCCCACTCTTGGCCCTTCTCTCTGCAGTTGAGGGCTGGGAGGCTCCAGCTGCACGGTTGTGTCCCTGGTGCATACCTGGTGCATACCTGGTGCATACGTGGTGCAGGTTCCTGTACTTCGTGTGTTCCGTAACAGGTGATTGTTTTGCAGCCCCTACCACGCCCTGCTGCTGCTCAGTGATGAGAAGTCCTTGCTGGGTGAACTTCCTATCGACTGCTCCCCTGCCCTAGTGCGGGTGATCAAGACCACATCTGCTGTGAAGAACCTGCAGCAGCTAGCTCAGGATGCGGACCTGGCCTTGCTGCAGGTATAGCTCTGGGGGCCCGGATGGGTGGCATGTGGCAGGTGCTGGGGCATCAGGAAAGGCAGGCCATCTACCACACTACATCCATAGGGGCTCTGTCCAGCTGAGAGCTGTGGCACAGCCCACCATGGGGTGGGGCCAGTCCCTGGGATGGCTGGAGGTTTTGGCATCTGAGTCAGACCTGGGTTCAGGGCTGGCTTTGTGAATGAGCCATGGGACTGACTTGTTCTTCTGTCTCAGAGAGGTAAGACAAGTCTGTGAGAGAAAGGACTGGGGTGCTCCCAATATTGGAGGTCGAGATACCAGAGCTAGTGGGTGGGCAGGGCAGGAGTGGGCAGGGTCCTGGGGGCCTCACAGTGGTGATTAACAAGCATATGGGAACTGAGGGCAGGAAGCTTGGATGCAGGGCCCTCCCATATGCAGAACAAAGACCTAACCTGGTGGCCTTACCCGCTGTGTGTGCACATGTGTTGGCCTGTGCATTCTGTACAAGATGCCACTTCTTTGCTGAGCCACATGCTTATGGGCCTGTGCATGCAAAGGACTGCCCTTTCTGATTAGATGGAGGGCCCCTCAGCCGTGTCTGCAGATCTGGTTGGAGTGTGGGTGAAGCGTGGGAGGAAAAGCATAGAGAAGGCTGGGCACGGTGGCTCATGCCTGTCATCCCAGCCCTTCAGGAGGCCGAGGCAGGCGGAGCGCTTGAGCCAAGGACTTTGAGACTGGCCTCAGCAACATGGTAATACCCCATCTCTACAGAAAATACAGAAAAAAAGAAAGAAAGAAAAATAGCTTGGCATGGTGGCATGCACCTGTAGTCCCAGCTACTTGGGGGTATGAGGTGGGAGGATCACTTGGGCCTGGGAGGCAGAGGTTGCAGTGAGCTGAGATCGTGCCACTGCACTCCAGCCTGGGTGACTGTGTTTCCAAAAAAAAAAAAAAAAAGCACAGGGAGAAATCAGAAGCAGGGGCTGCTGATGGGGTGGCCAACAGGCCATGGGGTCGTCTGTGGCTGCTAGTCATGTGGAGTGGCCCAGAGCCACGGGACCATTGAAGTGTTGCCTGAGGGCGGAGCAGGTGGTGCCTGTGGGTGGCGCCCTCGTCTGGTGGCGGTGTGCACGGCATGGCCACCAGGGGGCAGCAGAGGCTGCCAAGGAACCCAGGCGCGAGGTGGGCCCGCCTGGGTCCCTCTGGCTGAGCTTCCATGCTGTTTTGGCCTGTGAAACAGGCCTCTGCTTCTTAGCACGTTAGGTGAACTTGTCCAGCAAGGCCTAACTCTCAGGCCACTTTTCCCCAAAGGCAGCCTTTTTGGATTCTGTCTTTGAGAGTCAGTCTCTCCCGCCTCTGTATCTCAGGGACCCTTTATCTATCCTCTGTGAGACCTTTGACCAGATTGTGCCCTTGTATTTCTTTTTTCTTTTCTGAGACAGGTTCTTGCTCTGTCTCCCAGGCTGGCATGCAGTGGTGCCATCATGGTTCACCCAGGCTCCAGCATCCTCCCAAGTAGCTGAGACTACAGGTGTGCCCCTGGCTTTTTTTTTTTTTTTTTTTTTTGGTAGAGATGGGGTCTCCCTAGGTTGCCCTGGCTGACATCAAACTCCTGGGCTCAAGTGATCATAACACCTTGGCCTCCTAAAGTGCTGGGATTAATAGGCATGAGGCACCATGCCCAGCTGTGCCTTTCGACTTCGTGGGCTGGACAGGACCCAGTAAAGACCATGTCCTGCCCACCTTCATAGCATCCAGGAGACACAGAATTTTAAAAGAAGTCACTGCTCCATACAACCCTGCAGAGTGAGGGAGTCAGTGACCCCCGTGTCCTGATGAGCACCGGCCACATGGTAAATGCGTGTGGCTGTTCACAGGTCCTGTGTTGAGCTTTTGAAAAGAGCTGGGCCTGGCTTTCCTGAGGCTGTCTGGCAGGAGTTTGTGCTGGACACTGTGCCTCTCATCCTTGCTATCAGAGTCTCCTTGGACAAAGCTTTGATGTCCTCTTCTGAGGTTGTATGGCAGGAGTTTGTGTGGACACTGTGCCTCTCACCCTTGCTGTCAGTCTCCTTGGACAAAGCTTTGGTCTCCCTTTGATGTCGCCTTCACTTCCCTGCTGTGGCCTTGACTGGGGAGAGGGAAGGCTGTCATTGTTTTCCTGTGTCTGTAACCCTTCCCTGCTGTCCCTGCTGCAGGTCAGCAGAGCTTTGCTGCTGGTGTGGCAGTGCACAAGCCCCTGGGGCCCATCCCTGATGGGTCACTCTGTTTCCTTGAGATAGTCCCCTGGGGAGCATCTGCCTCAGGTGTGAATGTCACCAGGTAGTTTAAAGTCCCTTATGTGGCTGGGTGCAGTGGCTCATGCCTATAATCCCAGCACTTTGGGAGGATGAGGCAGGAGGACTGCCTAAACCCAGGAGGTCACGACCAGCCTGGACAACATAGGAAGACCCTGTCTTTACAGAAAATTAAATAATTAGCTGGGCATGGTGGTGTGTGCCTGTGGTCCCAGCTACTCAGGAGGCTGAGGTGGGAGGATCACTTGAGCCCTGGCGTTCGAGGCTGCAGTGAGTTGTGATTGCACACACTTCCAGTCTGGGCAAAAGAGCAAGACCCAGTCCCAAAAAATAAAATAAAATAAAATAAAATAAAATAATTCATGTTTACATCAATCCAGAGAGAATCTACAAGTAAATTTTGGGTTTGTCATGATAAAATTAATGTTATAAGACTTCAAACACTACACAAATTATAGACACAAAAAGTTCCCACAGTCCCATATCCCACAGGTAACCTAGATCCCTCCAGGTTTTTTATCTGTGTGTGTGTGTGTGTATATACAAACATTTTATTTTGTATTATGAAAATTAGGATCGTGCTGTACATTCGTTGTGATTGGCTGAATAACGGCCCCCAGAGACATACACATCCTAATCCCCAAAATCTATGAATGTGAACTCATGTGGCACTTTGGAGATATTACTAAGTTAAAGATCTTTAGATGGGAAGATCATCCTGTTAAGCCCTAAATGTAATCACTAAGGCCCTTATCAGAGGGAGGCAGAGGAAGCTCTGACTGAAAAGAGGCAGCGACGTGACCACAGAGGCAGAGTGGAGTGATGTGGCCACAAGCCAAGAGACACTGGCAGTTGAAGAGGCAGGACGAATTCTCTCTGGAGCTTCCAGAGGGACCCTGGTCCTGCTGGCACCTTATGCTGGCCCTGAAGTACTGATTTTGGACTTTCGATTTCCAGAATGGACAGCATCTTGGAGAGGCTGCTGCAGGGAGAGGCAGGAGGTGGAGACCACTATGCTGAACAGAGCTGGGGGAAAGTGGGTGTGTCTTTTTGAGAGAGCACATGCCAGTGGCACGTGGGGTGAGGCAACAGGGTGGTGATGGAACTGAAACCTGCCATGTTGGGGTTAGCAGTGCCATTGGAGGCACCACTCGCACAATCTCGGCTCACTGCAACTCCCACCTTCCAGGTTCAAGCAATCCTCCTGTCTCAGCCTCCGAGTAGCTGGGACTACAGGCATGTGCCACAGTGCACGGCTAATTAAATAAAAATTTTTGGTAGAGATGAGGGTCTCACTATATCGCCCAGGCTGGTCTCGAACTCTGAGGTTCAGGTGATCCTCCTGCCTTGCCCTCCCAAAATGCTAGGACTACAGGCATGAGCCACTGCTCTCAGTCTGGAGGCCTTGTTTTCTGAGCCGAGGTATAAGTGTCCTTAGCAGCAGGCAGCACTGTGTCCAGGCAGGGGTGACTCACCCCCACAGAGGCCTACTGGCCAAGAGGGTGGAGTGGTGTCTTGGGGTGATGCAGAGGCAGAAGTGCAAGTGCTTAGGATTGCACACACCTTTTCATGAAGTGCTATGGTGCTGTGCTCTCAGACCTCAGGCCTGAAGTTTCCTCTGGAAGGGGTTTTGGGTGTGTTTGTGTTTCCTGCTGTTCAAGGGTCCACAAGAGCAAAGCTGGGAGGTGGGGCAGACCTGGGGCCTTTGGGTATGTAGGAGGGGCATGCTGAGTGACTCCACACCCATCATTGGGGCAAGGCCATGCTGGAGTTTTAGGGGGTATGAGAGGGCTGTGCCCTGCCAGGATATCCAGCTAAGACCCCTGCCCAGCTGGGCCAACCCTGTGTTCCCAGCACCCCAGACATTCCCATGCTTGTGGCCTGAGACCACCATTCTTCAGTGGGAGTCAAGACAGTACAGGATGGGAAAACAGTGGCACCAAACAGCACAGGGAGCAGTGATAAAAAGGCCATTGTGGCCAGGTACAGTGTCTCACGCCTGTAATCCCACACTTTGGGAGGCTGAGGCGGGTGGATCACGAGATCAGGAAATCGAGACCAACCTGGCCAACATGGTGAAACCCTGTCTCTACTAAAAATACAAAAATTAGCTGGGCGTGGTGGCATGTGCCTGTAATCTCAGCTACTCGGGAGGCTGAGGCAGGAGAATCGCTTGAACCTGGGAGGCAGAGGTTGCAGTGAGCTGAGATTGCACCACTGCGCTCCAGCCTGGATGACAGAGCAAGACTGTCTCAAAAAAAAAAAAAAAAAGCCGTTGCTCACAGAAAGTGCTGTGTGCTGTGTGCTGGCTGTGCCCCACATCCTAGTGAGAGGTTGGGAAGGTGCTGTTCCACGTTAGGGAGGAAGCCGCGGGCCACAGCCACCACGTGTGTTCTGCATGAGCCTGGGACCAGCTTCTCCGGGTTGGTAGGCCATGGCCACCCATGCTGAGAGCTTCTGACAGCTCCCAGTGGGCCAGCCTCAGGCATGGTCCTTGCAGCTTCCCCTCTGCCTGCAGGTTTTCCAGCTTGCAGCTCATCTGGTGTACTGGGGCAAGGCCATCATCATCTACCCGCTGTGTGAGAACAACGTCTACATGCTGTCTCCCAATGCCAGCGTATGTCTGTAAGTGCTGCTGGCTGCCAGAGCCTGGAGCCCTGAATGGGAAGGGGTGAGGCCGGCAGGGCCCTCCAGATGCTGTTCTCTGTGTTGGCCAGGCACCAAAGGCTGTGGAAGCCCCAAGGCCAGGCGCTCACTTCAGCCTAACTCCTGGCCACCAGCGTGCCCAGGTCCCAATTCTGGTCTGGCTCTGTGCTGTGTGACTCTCCTGTATCCCCGCTATGCCGGGCCCCCCTCCTCCAGGCTGGCTCTCCTAATCCACCTTGAGGGATCAGAGGTGAGATGCAGGGTGAACTGTGCCCATGGCTCCTGCTGCTGCTCAAGGGGAAGTGCCCAGGTTCTGTCCACCTGGAGGCCTGCCTGGCATCATACCGTTCTGCCCTCATTGCACCGTCCTGGCCCACCTGCCACACTTTACTTCTCTGCTGCCCACTGAGGCCAGTGTTGAGAACACAGTGGGGGGTCTGAGAACACGGTGGGGGTTCTGCTGCACTCACTGGCATGCTCGTCTGCCTCCAGGTACTCCCCGCTAGCCGAGCAGTTCTCCCATCAGTTCCCATCTCATGACCTGCCGTCCGTCCTTGCCAAGTTCTCCTTGCCGGTCTCCTTATCAGAATTTAGGAATCCCCTGGCCCCCGCTGTGCAGGAGGTGAGTCACAGAAGCTCAAGGAGCCTGGAGTGGCAGGTGCGTAGTGGATAGGCACTACCTGCCTGGCTGTTGGTTCTGATCTGAGCCCTTACCACTGCCAGCTGCTTCTCCTTGGTTTTGGGGGCTTGCCATGCAAGTGCTATGTGCTCAGCAGGGCCCAAAAGTCAGCTGCAGATGCTTGGCCAGTGACCCAACACTTGGGCAGTTGTCCCCTCCCCATAGAGCCCACCCTGGCTGTGGCAGGCAGTTTTTAGGGTTAGAACTGAGTTGAGCTTGGCAGGAGAGTGCTTACCTTTTCTGGCCCTACAGACCTGCCTTGTACCCCTTTGGGACTGGGGACTGCCTACAGATGAGGGTGCAAAGGCAGCTTTGTTCTCACTGGGCCGGGGCCTGACCCTCTGAGAGTTTTGCTTCTGCCTTCACTCCCTGCCATGGCTCAGGTGGCCACAGGGTCTGTGGGTATGAGTTCTGGGGTCACTGGTCCCCAGAATCTCCTCATCCAAGAGAGCCTAGAGAAGACCCTAGTGGGCCTGGGTCAGGGCAATGGGCAGGCAGGTTGAGAGCTCGGAGTGGCTGGGGGATAGGAGGCCTCCTGCAGATCTGTGGGATGGACTGGTGCACTGGTATCTGTAGCAGGGCCAGTGGCTTCCCCTGTGGGCTGCAGGTGTCACAGCCTTGTGCTGAGGTGGCTTTGCCATCCTCCCCTCCACTGCGTTCTGGGCAGAGACTCAGAGCAGGGCCAGATAGGACAGAATGTTGGAGACAGACGAACTGGGTGTTCTCACGTCTTTGTCTCCAAAAGTATTTGAGTAAGTGCCAGATCTATTAGGCAAAACCAGTCCTTAAAGTCAAACCCTTTCCGTTCTCAAATTGTGAATGAGAATAAGATTCTGGTTTTTCAGCTCCTTTAGATGCCAAACCTGACAGAGTTCTTAGTGCGGTCTTTCATAGAGCCTTTGGTTTCTGGGAGCTGAGCCAGATTGTATCAGCTGAATAAGAGGCACTCTCTGCACCCCTTCTCTTGGGCCAGTGCTTAGGGAGGAGCTGCTGGTGCTTCCATCCCAGAGGCCTCCTGTGGTCTAGATGACGGGGTGGCTTTTCCAGGCCATGACTGAGTGGTTGCTCCAGGCCTTGTCAAGGGCCTAGATGGAGGCAGGTTCTGCCTGGGCTCCAGTGCCGGAAAGCCCCTCAGTTTTATTTTTTGTTCATTGATTTTATTTATTTTTGATTGCACTCCAGGCTGGAGTGCAATGGCATGATCTCGGCTTACTGCAACCATTGCCTCCCGGGTTCAAGCAGTCTCCTGCCACAGCCTCCCAAGTAGCTGGGATTACAGATGCCTGCCACCACGCCTGGCTAATTTTTTGTATTTTTAGTAGAGACAGGGTTTCACCATGTTGACCAGGGTGGTCTCGAACTCCCGACCTCAGGTGATCCACCCACCTCATCCTCTCAAAGTGCTGGGATTATAGGTGTGAACCACCATGCACAGCTTTTTTTATTGTTTTGATATAGAAACTTGTTCTGTTGGCCGGGCGCGGTGGCTCACGCCTGTAATCCCAGCACTTCGGGAGGCCGAGGCGGGTGGATCACCTGAGGTCGGGAGTTCCAGACCAGCCTGACCAACGTGGAGAAATCCTGTCTCTACTAAAAATACAAAAATTAACCAGGCATGGTGGCGCATGCCTGTAATCCCAGCTACTCGAGAGGCTAAGGCAGGAGAATTGCTTGAACCCGGGAGGCGGAGGTTGTGGTGAGCTGAGATCGCACCATTGCACTCCAGCCTGGGCAAAAAGAGCGAAACTCTATCTCAAAAAATAAATAAATAAATAAGTAAAGTATTAAAAAAAAGAAACAAACAAACAAACAAACTTGCTCTGTTGTCCAGGCTGAAGTGCGGTGGCATGATCTTGGCTCACTGCAACCTCCGCCTACCAGGTTCAAGTGATTCTCCTGCCTCAGCCTCCCAAGTAGCTGGGATTACAGGCATGTACCACCATGCCCAGCTAATTTTTATATGTTTAGTAGAGATGGGGTTTCACCATGTTGGCAAGGCTGGTCTCAATCCCCTGAGCTCAAGTGATCCACCCGCCTCGGCCTCCCAAAGTGCTGGGATTACAAGCGTGAGCCACCACGCCCAGCCCCATCTGTTTTATTTCTTAATTTCGCGTTAAGTCTGGATATTTTGCAGTCCGTTTGACCAGGTCGTCTTCTTACTTACCTGGTGTATATCCCCCATTCCCATCCCCAGTTCCCCAGCCCCCTCCCAGGAGGTAACACTGGCCAGCAGCTCCTTGTCGACCCTCCCAGAGATGAGGAGACAGATGTGTATCTGAGGACACTGATGCTGTCTCACACTCCTCGCTGCTCAATGCCTGTGTCTGGGCAGTGCTTTCTCACAGGGACTGGACTCTACCTGGCACAAGGCTCCTCACTTCTTCTCACTGCCAGCCCCACCTGCTAACCCAGAGACACTGGACAGCCTGGCCAGGACGCGCCTTCTCACGGTGGGGATGGGGAGGGGGGTGCTCCACCCCCAAGCCCAGGGTCACTGGCTTCAGCTTTCTTGTGGATCCACCCTTGTGCTCAGGGTGGACTTTCAGGTAGATCCAAGGAGAGGCCTTTCTGCTCTCAGGGTGCCTGCCCACAGCCTCTTTCTAAACAGTGTCTGGGCTTGTCTGGAGGTGGACTGGCTGGCTGGGACCAGCTACAGGGCCAGTGGGCCGAAGGAGAGAGGAGGCACAGGGGCAGCTGCAGCAGCACAGTGTGGGGGATTTGCTCAGAGCAGCGGTCACAGGGGGCCTCCACATCTCAGGTCCTGCTCCTCAGCCAGATGCTGGGCGGCCCAGGTGTGTGGTGGGAGCCCATGCAGGTGTGATCCAGATGTCCCCTGGCCCCTCTCCCTTCCCAGGAGGGTGAGCTGGCCTTGCAGAGCTGGCTGGCAGCTGGGGGCTCCCTTTCTGAGAAGAGGGTCTTTCTGCCTGTGAGTCAGCACAGGGAGTGTGCTGTGGCCATGTCTAGGGCCATGGGTCCCTGATCCCCCAGGAAGAAGCTGGAGTGGGGAGGGGGACCAGCCTCACCTGCTGCCACCCGCAGACCCAGCTTATCCAGATGGTGGTGTGGATGCTGCAGCGCCGGCTTCTCATCCAGCTGCACACCTATGTCTGCCTGATGGCCTCACCCAGCGAGGAGGAGCCCCGCCCGCGAGAGGACGACGTCCCCTTCACTGCCCGGGTCGGCGGTCGCAGCCTCAGCACGCCCAACGCCCTCAGCTTTGGCTCCCCAAGTAGGGCCCCCAGGGCATCGCTGTGGTAGTCAGGGGAGATGCTTGGGGGTGGTGCCCAGGAGGCTCAACATGGGCCCTGCTGTGAGTGTTGAGGGGCCTCCACATGGCTGCACACACACACTCACAGGCACGCGCCTTGTGTCCCCCGTGGAGACACCTCTCCTGTCTCCTAGCACCACCATGACTCTGAGGTGGCAGCTCTGCCTCCAGGCTCTTCAGCAGGCTTGCTAGAGTCAGGAGCAGCTCCCAGCCCACCAAATCAGTGCTGGAATCTCTGCCCCAGCCTGGGATCAGAGCAGGATCTCACAGCACTACCCGGACAGCTGACACCTCTGTGCCCCAGAACAGCTGTCATGGCCAGTGTGGCTCAAGGGCGGCAGCCTGTTGCCAGGTCCCAGGTCCCCAGGCTTCGAGAAGGAAGGGGGTGGAAGACTTTGAAAGTCCTCCCCTGGCTGAGGTCTGGCTGTAGGGTTCATGCTTCATGTGAGGACCCCACTTGCCCGGGGTGCTTTGTCCTCCATCCTGGGTGAGGGGCAAGATGCCCAGGCCCACCTTGAGGTGTTTGTGGGGCACACATTGCACCTCTGTTCAGGTCCCTTGAGGGTGTCCCCAGAGGGGAGGCTACCCATTTCCCAAGTCAGCCATATGAGGGGCGTGTGTCACACCCAGGAGGTGGGGCAGCCGCGGATGCTTGCAGGCAGATGTTGCAGCTGGGGTACCAGATAGGGCCCTTGTGGGAGTTAGGGGTGTTATTGGAGGCTGGCTGCTGGCTCTGCCCTCGCTGTTCCCCTGGGTGTCCTGGAATTTCACTTGGTCACCCTGACCCATGGCCCCCACAGCCAGCAGTGATGACATGACCCTCACCAGCCCCAGCATGGACAACTCCAGCGCAGAGCTGCTTCCCAGCGGGGACTCACCACTGAACCAGAGGATGACGGAAAACCTGCTGGCCAGCCTGTCAGAGCATGAACGCGCAGCCATCCTCAGTGTACCCGCAGCCCAGAACCCTGAGGACCTCCGCATGTTTGCCAGGTGGGTGCAGGTTGACCGTTGGGACTGGGGCCAGTTGCAGGGTCAGGGCAGAAAGTGGACAGGGACGTACGCAACAGGACCAAATCCACTGAGAACAAATGGGGCCCTGTTCGAGATGGAGTCTCTGCAATCAGGTGTGTAGGGGCAGGTGCCACTGCCCAGGCATGGGGATGCAGCTTGTCACCAAGACCCCGGGCTGGGGGCCTGGCGTGCCTGTTTTTGGGCCTCTTCGCTCTCCACTACTTCTTAGATATTTCTTGTCCCTTGAGAGGCAGTGCCAAGTTCTCACCCTCAGGAGACTTGGCAGGGGTTTGCCCAGGACTCTAAGCCCTGGGGGGCACCCAGGATCCCCCACGTTATAGGTGATGTGGCTCAGTGGTCTCTGTCAGCCCCACCCTGATGTGGGGGATAGTGTAGTGGCACACTTTTCCGGGAGTGGTCAGGTTGTCAGGGACTGAGTTCCCTGTTAAGAACCACACTCCAGGCCCTTGAGAGGACCACTTGCAATGCTTCTGAGCAGCTGGTCCAGGTCTCACCTGCATTCTAGCATCCTCTGTGCCAGCCTCAGTTGCAGAAACCACCCTAAAGCAGTGACTTTCCAAATGATGGTGACATTAAAAAAAAAAAAAAAAAAAACACAGACCAGGCACAGTGGCTCACACTTGTAATCCCAGCACTTTGGGAGGCCAAGGTGGGTGGATCACCTGAGGTCAGGAGTTCGAGACCAGCCTGGCCAAAATATAGTGAAACCCTGTCTCTACTAAAAAATACAAAAATTAGGCAGGCATAGTAGCACACTCCTGTAGTCCCAGCTTACTTGGGAAGCTGAGGCAGGAGAATTGCTTGAATCTGGGAGGTGGAGGTTGCAGTGAGCCAAGATCGAGCCACCGCACTCCAGCCTGGGTGACAGTGAGACTCCATTTCTTGGGGGGGGGAAGCTGTGACCTTTTGGCTCCAGAGCTATGTGGGACTCACCATAGCATGAAAAAACAGCCACCAGCAGACCCCTGATCCCAACATCAGGACACAGGCTGGGGCAGCTCTGGCTGTGAACAGCTGTCTATCCTCCTGGACCCACTTTGCCCACCTGCTGGTCAGCAGGACCATGGTGGGCGTGCGGTCCTGGAGGCCTGCCTGCCCTTGTTGGGGGTCTGTGGCTGCCTCCCTGGCCTTCACTGCCAGCTCTGCTCAGGCCTGTGGGCAGCTCAGAGTTGATTCCCAACAGTAGCTATTCAGCAGAGGCCTTTGGGGGCTGGCATCAGGTTGGGCTCACGCCCACCCATCCCTTCCAGGCTCCTTCACTACTTCCGAGGCCGCCACCACCTGGAGGAGATTATGTACAACGAGAACACTCGGCGCTCCCAGCTGCTCATGCTGTTTGACAAGTTCCGCAGCGTGCTGGTGGTGACCACCCACGAGGACCCCGTGATTGCCGTCTTCCAGGCTCTGCTTCCCTGAGCCCAGGCGGAGGGCGGAAGGCTGCTGGGGTGTGCAGGTGGGCGCTCGCGTCTTCCCACCCAGGGCTTCCTCCCTGCTGAGGCTGAGCCCTCTTAGCCCTGAGGCCTGGCACTGGGTGGATGCCGGCCAGCCATGGCCCAGTGAAGCCTGCAGAGCCCCGCTGTACTGGCCCCTGGTGGTTCAGCTGTGAGGCCGCTGCCCTCCGCTTTCCTATGCTTCCCTCCAGTCCTCGCCGCATGTGTAGGCGTCTCCACGCTGGAGGGGGCCTGCCAGAACTCCTGTCTCTGGGTGAGGCCTGCATCCTTCTAGGCCCATGTGGGCTGTGCGTTTCTCAGACCCTCCTTTTGTCCCTAGACCTGCTCCCTGGAACCCCCCTCTGTGGCCACCCTGAAGAATGTGCTGAAACACTTGTGTGGCCTGTCCCCGTCTCTCTGACAGCCTTCCATTTGTGAAGTGCCCTGTGGCCCTGTCCCTAGCACCACCTCTGTCTGCCATGCACTTCTTCCTCCCAGGCTGCCATGAGCCTTTCCTGGCCCAGCCCTCACCACAGTCCATGGAAGCCACAAACAGGCTCATAGCCAAGCTGTCACCTCGTCCTGACCATCTGGGGCGCGAGGGCCTGAACTCCCCTGCTAGGCTGGAGCAGCCCTGTCACCTGTGCACATCTTGCTGGTGGAGGCATGGCCCACTGTGCAGGGCCCCACCCTCGGGGGCTCTCTGCTCCCACACCGATGACTCTCCCCAGCATCCACACTGGGTCTGGCACTACATACTCAGGGCCCCCAGCCCTCGTGTCCTGGAGGAAGAGCTGGCTCCAGACACGTGCTGACCACCTAGAAGAGCTCTGGCTAAAGTGCAGTTTTCTAGAAATAAAACATTTATTTGTTTTTTAAACAATTAAAAAATATTGTCTGGGCGGACCCTTTGCTCAGGCCTGTGTGTCCTGCTCAGCCACTCTGTCGACCACACTGACCCAGGGGCTGCCCCGGACGTAGAAGCGGAGGGGTTTCCGGGCCCACTCCCCTGCAGAGCCAACGCCCACCCGGGCTGCTGTCACTACAGCTGGCTCACTGGGCTCCAAGGGACCACGCTCCAGCCATATAGCTTCATCCTGTGCCAGGTCCCTCTGGTCAAAGCTCTTGTTGATGGCCAGGGCCTGGCACAGCTTGGAGGGGCCACTGCAGAGCTCACGGTCCTTGAGGACACGGCTGGCGGTGCCTTTCCGGAGGGTGCTGCGAAGCTGACGCATGGTCTCCAGACCTTCCAGGGGCTCCAGTGCTCGCAGCAAGACGCAAGCCCCGTCCCCTGTGGGATGGATGGACAATTTGGAAGTGGAGCCTCCCTAGGCTCCTGTTCTCTCTGCCCTAGTGCACATCCAGACATCCTGTGCTGCAGGGAGGGTGCAGCTGCCTTCCTGCCTGGGCCAGGGACCTGCTCTACGCACCTGCACCGTCTACTGGGTCTGACCTGGTGGGAGGGGCTGCACCTCACTGTGTCCAGACCCCTCTGCCTACCTTGCCATCCTCCATGCCTGCACCATGAGGTGTGCCTCCTGTGGGCACCTCTGGCTGCCACCACCAGGCAGTGCCTCCACCACTGTGGCCGCCCTCACAAAGCCAGACTGTTAAAAACACATGACGAATGCCGGATACCAGCTCCTTTCTACCTGGCTTCCCCTGGTCTTGTGACTGGCAGCAGCTATGAGGCCAGCAAAGGAAGCTCCAGAGAGCCAGTCCTCGGTTGCGATCATTCTGCCAGGAAGCAGGAAACCTTGGGCCTAGCCAGGCCCCAGGGCTCCCCTTCTGCCTCACCCACTCAGCATTTGTGTTGGTCAAGTGGTGGGGGCTAGGGGTTGGCTTAGAGCAGCTGTCAGTGTGCACCGGATGTTAGGAGAGCCCATGCAGTGACTCAGTGGAAAGACTGACTGCCACACCCTGCACAGGCAGGGCAGGAGAAGGCTGGCGAAGCCCCCCTCACCTCCCTTGGGATCCTTCCTCCAGCCTAGCCCCTCCCTCACCAGGCCAGGCCACTTGAGAAGCAGAGACAGCAAGTGAAGGCTCCTGGGCCCAGGGGCTCACTCAAGCACAGATATCTGAATTTCCTCTGCCCTGCAGGTTTGGAAAGGTCCCTTGGATTCCCGGCTGGGGACAATGATGACCTGGACCCTGGCCAGAGGAGCCCTAGCCCTCCAGCAAGGCAGCTCCCTGGAGACACCTGCTGTGACTCACCTGTGCACCCCTGGCCCTCCCAGCCACCTGGGAGTCAGAGGCTTAGCCCAGAGGTGGCCAAGCCAGTCCCCACTCTTGGGCTGTGGCCATGTGAGCCTCTGCATCAGCAGCCAGGGGCGAGCACTAGTGGACAAAGCCATGCCCTCCAGCAAAGCCAGCAAGTGCGGCATTCTTCTGAGCAGATACCCTTGACCAGCCAGTTGTCAAAGTATTTCAAGCTAAAATCAAGGCCAAGCAAAGCCTTTAAGTTCCCGTCCATTCTGTGATTCCCACGCTGCTTCCAGCTCACCAGGTGGGGCGCCCGCTGCCCACCCTGACCCACCTCAGTAGGAAGGAGCGGGACCCTCTACATCCCTGTGAGTGCAAGACACATGCCCCTCATGGTCCCACTGAGCCCCCACAGAGCCGCCTGCAAATGAGTCAAAGCCTGGCCGCCCTCATCACCACACCCCCCTGCCCTGGCTCCTTCACACACAACACATCCAAGTCCCACATCCTGACAAAAATACGACCCTTTGATCTCTTACCAAATCTTCCTGTCCTCGCCTACTTCTCTGCCCACCCTAACTCCCCGCTGCTATGCCCACTGCTCCATCCTTGGCAACCTGACCACTCTGCTCTTCTTAGCACTGCGATCATCCTCTTCTCAAACTGGCTTGTAATCCTCATGTGCTGCCTCCATCAAGGGCAGGTGACACCTGTGTCCTAGGCCTCCTTTCTGCTTCCACTTCAACCAACCCTTTCTTTTTATTTTGTGATGGAGTTTTGCTCTTGTCGCCCAGGCTGGAATGCAGTGGCGTGATCTCGGCTCACCACAACCTCCACCTCTTGGGTTCAAGTGATTTTCCTGCCTCAGCCTCACTAGTAGCTGGGATTACAGGTGCCCACCACCATGACCATCTATTTTTTGTATTTTTTGTAGAGACGGAGTTTTACCATGTTGGCCAGGCTGGTGTTGAACTCCTGACCTCAGGTGATCTGCCTGCCTTAGCCTCCCAAAGTGCTGGGATTACAGGTGTGAGCCACCACGACTGGCCCCAACCAACCCTTTCTACTCCTCTAACCAACCTTGCCCCGTCAATGCAGCCAGAGCTCCTGAAACCCTGACCTGGCCCTGGAAATGGCACTTCCTTGCTCAAATATCTGCCCCACCTCAGTCCTCCTGATGGTCCCCTGGCCGTTAGTTGACGGGGCTCTGCCAGCCCTCTAGCCCCCTCAACCGCCAACCCCCCATGCCCCAGCACTGCTCACCCTGGCTGGAGATGTTCATGCAGAAGTACATGCCATAAATGAGGTACACGTACAGTGTCCCCGGCTTCATAAACATGCCTCGGTTGCGGGGGGTCTGCCGGCCACCCCTTGAGTGGGCAGCTTCATCCTCTGGCCCCAGGTATGCCTCAGTCTCCACGATGCGGCCTCGGAGTTCTGTGCCATTAGGAAGTCGCCGGACTAGGACCTGTGTGAAGTCAGTTTCTGCTCAGGGCAGGAAGGGATGGGGGTCCACTCACCCTAACAGTGCCCAGCCTGGACCTCATCTCCCCAGCTCAGGGTGTGTCAGCCGCCCAGGTCTAGCCAGGGACCTTGCCCCGTCTCCATCCTGCCTCTTCTCTTGCTCCTGCTGAGCCTGAATATGGCTGTTGAGGGCACCAGTTGTCTCCTCCAGCCCTGCTAGACCACCAGACCGCAGGCCAAAGACACCTCAGGCCACAGCCAGGGCGGGGCTGGGAACCAGCAGTCATGGATTCACCTTGCAGGTCAACCTCCAAGTCCTCTCAGCAGGGCCCTCCATTCCCCAGCTTCCTCCTTTCCCAAGTACCCTTGAGAAAACCATCAGCATTTAGCATAAGGCCAGGCATCACGGAAGGCACAGGACCCCAAGGATGTCCCCACACCAGCTACCTGGGAAATCCCAGAGCCTGTGAAGTCCCCTAAACCTGGGCTGCTGAGGTGGCCACAAGGGACCCTCATACTAAACTCCCACCCTCCGGCTCTAAGGCCTTTCTGAGCAGTAGGCCCCGCTGCCCCACGGTGCCCCAGCCTGGACCATGGTCTTGGTAACGGCTAACAGTTGTGCCCTCAGTGCTTGGAGCCCAAGTTAACAGCAGAGCACTGGGGACCAGCCACATCCCCAGCACCTGTCTCGTTTTTAGGCCAGAGGCGTCAGCTGGAGAGCCAGACCACCTTCACCTCAGCCCAGGAAGCCCTGTGGTGCCAGAGGCCATGGTCAGTATCATGGGCTGGGGAGGAGGGGCACTGGAGCTCAGATGCTTGCTGGGGGAGCATTCAGGAGGCCTTCCTGGAGATAGGGTGGAGGAAAGAAGGGGTCAGTGCCTGTGCTGGAAACCCAGAAATCCTTAGGCATCCAGAGCCGTGAGGACAGAAGTGAACAGGCCAGGCTTGGCCAGACCACGTCCAGGGGAGAAAGGGTGGCCCTGTTCCATCTTCCCTGGAGCTTAGAGGGAATGCCCCTCCAGGGGCTTCACGCTGCGCACTCCTCTGCCTCCATGGGGGCACACTGTGGGGGCCCAACTACCATTCTGGAGAGGAGGTTCCCACAGCCCTTTTCTCACTGTTTCCTTTTCCATCCCAAATTTCTGATCTGGATTTCACTCTGATACCATTTCCACCAATGGCAGATACTGGGGCCTCTCACCCCACCCCCATTGCCAACACACACACCCTCTTCCTTGCTGACAGAGCCTCCTGGGGGACACCACACCCTCCTCAGCCCAGAGAGTGGCCTGGGATTTCATGGCAACTCACTGCAGTGACGCTTTTAGGGATGAGTGCATGACCCAAGCCTGGCTGAGGGGTCTGCAAGGGCATCCACTGGGAGGTTATGGAGAGGGCTGTCCCTAATCCAAAGGACACACGGTGAAACACCCTCTTCTCTGCTGGACATCATCTTGTCCACCAATGAGCTCAAGTGGGCATGACTGTGGCCTGCCAAGGATGCTGAATAGAGACAAACGTATTGTGGTCCCTGATGCCACACTGGGCCCTTGCCCTGCTCCTATGATGCACCTGCCACACGTACCGTTTTGTTGTATCACAAATGCCCATCATATTTTATTTTTTATTTTTGAGACAGTCTTGCCCTGTCGCCCAGGCTGGAGTGCAATGGCGTGACCTCAGCTCACTGCAACCTCTGCCTCCTGGGTTCAAGCGATTCTCCTGCCTGCCTCCCAAGTAGCTGGGATTACAGGCACCCGCCATCACACCCAGATAATTTTTATTTTTATTTTTTTTTGAGACAGAGTCTCGCTCTGTCGCCCAGGCTGGAGTGCAATGGCGTGATCTTGGCTCACTGCAAGCTCCACCTCCCGGGTTCACACCATTCTCTTGCTTCAGCCTCCTGAGTAGCTGCGACTACAGGCGCCTGCCACCACGCCTGGCTAATTGTTTTTTGTATTTTTGGTAGAGACAGGGTTTCACTGTGTTAGCCAGGATGGTCTCCATCTCCTGACCTCGTGATCTGCCCACCTTGGCTTCCCACAGTGCTGGGATTACCGGCGTGAGCCACCATGCCTGGCCACAAACGCCCATTTAAGGTGCTTTTAGAAGGATCCACATGGGGACAGAATGTTGTTTGTTCTCCACGAGATCAAGCCCACATTCTAGGGTCTGCTCTTTAGCACCCAGTTCCTGCCACTGGTATTTCTCTTCTGGCTCTTTTTGGTGATTATAACCTAAAAGTAGGCTCATTAAAGGACAAAGAGAAGGCCTTGGAGCCTCTGGAGAACCAGAAAGGCAGGCCTGGGGCTTTGGCATCAAGGACCACCACCCAGACAGTGCTCCCAAGAGATCCAGCCAAGATGCCGTGGCTGTGTGAGCATTTGCTTGTGGGGACAGCCTGCACCGCAGGCCCCACCAGAATGGGCCCTGGGCAGTCCCTCCTTCTTACTCCAAGTCTGATAGGCAGAGCCCAGATCCTGGACCTACACTGAGCTGCAGGGGCCCTGGGAAGCCAGCACTGCACTGAGAGCCACTACAGTGGGAAGGGGCAGCCGAACACTGGCCACAGCCACAGTTCCCATGTGTGGAAAAACTGTGAGGTGGATTCCAGGTGAGGAAGGCTAACAGTGCAAGTGCTCCTGCCCTAGATGCCAGAAGCCGGGGGGTAGACAGTGGCACCCCTGCTGCACCCTGGGCAAACAACACTGACAGTCTCCACATTCTTCCCAGATGATCTCAGGCAACTGAGAGGAGCTATCCAGGGACCAGTGTGAGCAAAGAAGCTAACTGCACGAGGACAAGGAGGACTAACCGAGGGCCAAGCCCAGCAGGCAGCGGACAGGGCTTCAGGGACAACTGCAGTGACAGGCACTTTAGGAGAGACCACGTTGCTATGTTCACATTACCTGTCCCAGAAATGCCCGGGCCAGGGGGACTGCTGGCTGGTCGAAAAACTCCAATCCCAGTCGGGTAAGGTGGCCCTTCGGGCTTGAGAAATAGATGCTGCGGTATGGGCCCAGGGTGGTGGGTGGTCCCAAACAGGGCTCCTTGGGGCAAGGTGCCTGGGCTGTGTCAGACGGGCTGTGTGGCTGCTCTGCTTTGGCTAGTCGCTGCTTTTTTTTCCCCATCCTTCGGGAAAACTGTAATGGGAAAAATAAATAAATAAGCATCCGAATAGAAGACAGCTGTCTGGTAAGGTCAGGCTCAGGAAGTGCAAAGACTGGATTTGACCACCTGCTTCGGTTTCTTCATCTGCAAAGTGGGGGTGACCACCCTGTGGGTAGTTATAAGGCACAAACACCCCGACACACTCGAGGCCTCAGGAAATGATTACATCTGATGGACGGCTGCTGCTGGTGGCAGGGTGGCTGCTCTGCCCCACATATGTGCGAGCTGCACAGCGTGGGGGCCCAGGCTGCACGACCTGGGGAGCAAATGGTGGCCGGAGCCTGGGACAGCAGGGCTGGGGCCCTCTGATTCCCACTCATCATGCAGGTCCCAAGCAAACGTCTGAGCTGGTTTCTGGAACCCTGCCCTTTCATCCAACCCTTACCAGGAATTCAAAACACAGCCAGGACCTTGGCAGGGCCTTAGCAGGGATCCCAGTGTGTCAGAATCCTTGGAATGGCCCCCAAGGCCTGACACACAGGGAGGAGTGAGTACCGGGGTGACCACTGGCCTGGCCCCATCCCATGTGCTCAGGGTCCCTAACTGTTCTCTGCTTCATGGCCCAGGTTGGATAACGAGCAAGTGGGGCAAAGGCAAGGTCTCCTGAGGGACCAGGAGGGTCTGCTGAGACCCAGCAGGCCCCCAGCCTCCCACCTGTGGCTTCCCCATGTGTAGGGGGAACCTGACCACACATCCTCAGCTGCCCTGGGGCAAAGGAGGAGGGAAGATACAGGGGGCGGGTGCGCGTCGGCCTGGCAGCACCCAGAGGGCTGGTCTTCAGCAGCACCTAAGTCCTCCTGGCATGGGAGAGATGCATTATTTTTAACGGGAGTGCTGACGTTCATGTCGAACGGAGACTGCCAGTCGGCCTGCAAAGGACGCTGACATGACTGTCTCCGCACTCGGCCAGCGCTGCCAACGCGCCGTGGGCTCAGCCCCCGGGCGCTGCGGCCCCTGCTTTCGGCCCGAGCTTGGCCCTTGCCTACGCTCTGGCTCTGCCCCAACCCTCGGGGCGGTGGGCGGTACGCCCGTCCCCGGTACTCCCGCTCCGGCGGCCGCGCTCGCTGCTGCGCCTTGGGGTGGGCGCGTCTGTTCCGCGGGGCGGCCGAGGCGCGCGCTCACCTGGGCCCCGCTGCGCGCAGGCATCCGGCAGCTCGGGTCGGGGCTTCGTGGGGCTCGGACCCCGGCACAGAGACCAGCAGGCGCCGACCCCAGCCGCCGCCGACCCCGGAAGCACCGCTGGTACCGGGACGGAGCGGCGCCTGCGCAGAACGGGACGGAAGCCGGGAAGGCGGGGGCAGTGAGCGCAGGGAACGGGCTGCGGCCCCGGGGCGGGGCAGACCACACGGAGGTGGATCGTCTTCCCAGCGCCCGCCACCAGTTGTGGACCCAGGCCCGGGCCTGATGCGGCTCCTGCGGAGCGACAGCGGGGAAGGGGCAGGTGGGGGTGGGGCGAGCACCCCACTCTGCCCCGGCGCCCCTCCCAATGGCCCGCTGTCCGTCCCCGTCTGCGCCCTGGTCGCCTGGCGGCCTCAGAGCCCACTCCACCAGCGGGTGGTCAGACCACCAAGAGGACGGGCCCATCGTGAACCTGAGTGGGTCCTCGAGGGGCCAGGGCGGAGTGGTCGTGCTTTGGGGGAGGGTGCAGGCCGCAGACGTGTTTTCCGGTGGGGTGCCTGCGGAGTGCGCGCCTGGGAGACCGCCCCAGCCCTAGTCCGGAGTGGGCCAGGGAGTCCTTATCCAGGAAGTGGACTCCGGGCCTGTGCGGAAGCCCCCGCCCCTGGTCCGGGGTTGTCACAGCCTGGTGGGGGGAAGGAAGGAGGGAGCGGCGCGGATTCTGCGTCTGCCGCAGAGCCCCCATCCCTCTTTCCGCCCAAGGATGCTGAAGGGAGTTCGCCCACTTTCTGGGTTGGGCCTGCTGGAGCGCAGCCAGCCTCCAGGCCAAACCAGGGCTGAACACAGCCTGTCAGTGCGCAGCCTTCTGAGGCCTCCCCAAGGCCCAGCGGCCTGTAACCTCTCACTACCTCTCAGGTCAGATCCATGCCCCTAGGCAGGGGCAGGGATGGTGCTTGGCCCAGTGGAAAGAAGGGCCTAGGGGACGGGCCCTGAGGGAGCTGGGAACACTGCTGGCTCCCACGGTTCATGGCAGCCCCAGCACCCAGCAGAGCCATCCCCCACTTCTGGCCACTTGGGGGTTTATCTGGGTCTGCAGGGCCCCTCCCCTATGGCAGGCACAATCCCACCCCACAATCCACCTCTGCCATACAAAAACACTTGAGGGGCTTTTCCTGAGGTGTCTTTGACTTCTGTGACCCTGGTCCTGGAAAGGGGCACCTGAAAAGGGCTTGAGCAACTGGGCACCTGACTGTGTCAGCTGGGAGACGCTGGGCAGGACAGACGCACAGGCCATGTGTCTGGAGCCCTCAGATGAGGGTGACACTTGGTGCTACAGAAAGGCTAACAGAGCAGGACCCTGGTCTCCAACTGCGTCTCCTCCTCTGACCAGCCGTCCCACTCCCATGGGCCCCAGCCAGGACTTCCTGGGGAGGGAGGGGCCATGAGCTGCTGGAAGCCACCAGCTGTTTGTAGCACTGTGTGCCGCTTCCGGGGGTGGGGGCACAATGTGTCATCAATCCATGTTTATAAAGCAGCCCTGGATGTGATCCCACACCCTCCCTGCTTATCCCCTGCAGCCATGCCTTCCAAACAATAAGTTTCTCCTTCCGGTGGCAATAGTCCCCCGTCCTCCCAGTGCTCCCCCTCAGTCTAGTAGGGAAACTGAGGCCCCAGTTGAGCCTTTGTCTTCTTGATGGGCAGGGAGAGGATGGGTGTTACTTTGTACTTATATTTATTTTGGTTTTACAAGTGATACGTGGTCCTTGCAGAAATCATGGGGAGTCCAGGAGCTCCCAGAGGGGTGTTTTTATCCCCACCTTTCTTATGAGGAAAGAGAACCACTTGAAGGGCAGACTGGCCCCTGCCCCAGGAGGTGGAGAGGCTGGCGCTGGGGCGCCAGCAACCAACTTCTCCAGATGTTCTGGCCTGAGTGCTGCGGGTTGCGCAATCTCTGGGCACCCCCCCCCCCGACTTCCTGGTTTGTGGTCTAAGGCTGCCACCACAGGCTGGAAGTGGTGGGATGAGAGTTCCAACTGTGGCCTGCAGAGTGGGCTGGCGGGCTGGTCCGGGGCAAGAGAAAGTGGTGCCAGGTGAGAGGAGGGGGGCCTGGGGCCTCCTCTGTCCCCAGTTTGCCCCACTGCTGGGCTGGAACAGGCTTGTTGGAGGAGGCAAGGATATCAGTGGAAGATAGAGATGAGGACACCCTCGAGGCTTTGAAAGGAGTGAAGGCTAGTATTGGTGCTGGGGTGAGCAGCCCTGACCCCCGACCTCCACAACAGGCCATAGGCTGTGGAGGGGCTGGAGCTGCCTCTAGCTGTAGGAGGCGTGGCCATCAGTCACTGGAGCCTTTATAAGCAAGTCCTTGAGAGATGTGGCTCTATCGGCCACAGGGGCCAGGGTTCTAGTATCAGCCTCAGGACCCCAGGGTGCCCAGCACACTAGCTCCGTCTTCTCTCCGATGGAGGAGGGTGCTGACAACTGTTGAAGCGGGTGTCAAGTCAGAGCCCATGGGCTCCTCTACACAGCTTTGAGCTGGCAGCTTCCCAGCAGGGTGGCTGCTGGCCTCTTGACTGGTCTCCAGCGCCTTCTGTGTCTGGTGATCCCTGGAGGGTCAAAGCTTCCTTGGGCAGAGAAGGCAGCCACTGGGCAGGCCAAAGTGGGGTGTGTGTGAGCTACATCCTCCCTGCCTGGGGCTGTGCTGCTGGGCCCTGGGCCCAGGTGCTTATGGGAACCCCTTGCCAAACCCTGAGATATGGGGAGGGGGCAGCTGCCTCAGAAATAGCCTATGACTTCAGGCCACTGGCTGGCCTGGCCCACTTCTGCCTCTTCCCCAAATAGCCAGGAGCTGGTCATGGGCCCATCCCTGGAGCTCCCCAGGCAGGGGCAGTTTCTTCTTATCATTCCAGGGACTCTCCAAAGCCCAGGGTCTGACCCCTTGGGTGATTACTTGTGGCCTGAAAGCTGAGCTGAGGATTCTGGGGTAGCTGAGGATTCTGGGGTAGCTGTTGGGAACTCTCCTCTTACTGGTCAGGGCTCCTGTTCTCTCGTGTCCTGGTGTGAGGTCCACAAACCCTGGGGTTGGTGTAGACACCCACCCATTCTCAAGACGCCTGCCCACCAGCCCTGTGAGTGCTGGGCAACTGTAGCTGTTTTCCATTTCTCCAGGGTGCAGGAAGCGGGAGGAGAGGGGCCAGGAGCTGGGTTTCCGTATAGGGGGGCTCCTCCACCAGAACAGAGACTAGTAGGGCAGGCATGAGGCAGAGCACACATATGTGCACACAGTTGTCCATGTGGACTGGATACAGTCCTGAGTTTCATGCGTGTCTGTGTGAAGAGACCACCAAACAGGCTTTGTGTGAGCACAAGGCTGTTTATTTCACCTGGGTGCAGGTGGGCTGAGTCCGAAAACAAAGTCAGCAATGGGAGATACGGGTGGGGCCGTTTTATAGGATTTGGGTAGGTAGTGGAAAATTACAGTCAAAGGGGTTGTTCTCTGGTGGGCAGGGGTAGGGGTCACAAGGTGCTCAGTGGGAGAGCTTCTGAGCCAGGAGAAGGAACTTCACAAGGTAATGTCATCAGTTAAGGCAGGAACCAGTCATTTTCACTTCTTCTGTGATTCTTCACTTGCTTCAGGCCATCTGAAGGCTCAGAGGCCTGACACTGAGCACACATGTATTGAACCCCCTGTGATCATCCTTCTGATGACCTCACTCAGGAGGCCAGGGTGGGCTGAGAACCTGGGGATTCCTGGACACAGGCTGTAAGATGGGGATTTGTCTGCAGGGGCAGACTGGGGCATGCTGTCCACCGAAGGTGACTGCTGGGTGTGGGGTGTTTCAGCTCAGAGCCAGCTGTGGCTGGTGCTCCTGGCAGCTGGCGATGAGTGTCTGGGACTTGGAGCGTGTCTGGGTGGGGTCTGACAGCGTCCACTGCAGGAGGAGACCTGCTGACATCAGATGCCCAGCTGTGGCATGCTTTGGAGGCAAGCCCAGTCCCCAGCTTTCCAGAGAGCACACCACTTGTGGCCCTGCCAGCCTAGTCTGGGCATCCAGGCCCAGTAGGGCTTGCTTATCCCTGGCAGGGGTCAATATTGTTAAGCACGGAGACTGTCCTGTCTCTGGCTGTGAGCCTGGCATGGGAGGGGTGGCACATGCAGGCTACAGGAGCACTGAGTGTTGGCACCGGGGCAGGCTCCCTCTCACCTGGTGTCCTTGACGCACTGGCAGTCATCCCCCTGGTGGAGTTCCCCTCTACCCCCTCCAAAGCTTTCATTGTCTCCTTCTCCATGAGAATTGTGTTGATACTGCTTGTGTTCAGAGAGGACCCACTATGTGCAGGCACCACCCTGTTCCATGGCACGGACAAGGATACGGGCAGAGGATTATTGCCCAGGCTCTGGGATCTACCCATAAGTGTACCAGCACCTTTAGTTCAAATTGTTCCCTTTCTTTTCTGTGTAGCCAAGGACCAGGCCATTGTCTGCATTGGGCACTGGGTGCAACAGCTCAGTTTGGCGAGGACTGGTGCCACCCAGACCCAGAGGATGGCACTGAAGCAGCAGCAGCCTTGTGACCAGCACAGGACCTGAAGACACACTTGTCCGAGGCCTGAGGGGGCACCCTGTAGAGGGATCCTTAGGGACCCATGGGAAGAAGGAATCCTGTACCCTCTCTCCAGGGGAAGCCTCGGCCCCTACCACTCAGAGCTCCTGGACAACCCTGCCTGTACTCTGCTGTTGGCACCCCTGTGCTCCACCCTGGGATGTGCCCTGGGTGGGTCAACCCACCCAGTGTCAGGAGAGAAATGCTGGGAAACTCCCACTAGCAGCCCCAGCTGAAAGCAGAGGGTCATTTTGAGTGCAGCCCAGATTGTGCAGGGATATGAGCCCACCCCGGGGTGGCCGCTAAGCTCTGAGACAGTGACAAGAGCCCAGAGTGGACACCAGACACTGCACTGCCTCTGCTCAGAGGCTTCAGGTGGGGCCTGGTGCAGCCTGGCCTGAGTGCTTGCTGGTGGGGCAGGGCTTCTGGGGGTGGGGACACTGGGCGGGGGGAGGGGTAATTACTGTGGTCCTGAACTGAGTGTGTGCATCAGTATATACAGCACACGTGTACATGTGTGAGTGGTATGAGTATGTACCCATAGAAAGATGTACATGAGTAGGTGGGTGCATGTGAGCCTGTGCATGTGTAGGCGAATGAACGCATGAAGTGGAAGAATGTGGGAAGGTGTGTGTATGATTGTGAGTGATCGGTGCACATGAATGTGTGTGAGGGAACTGAGGGC